TTTAAAATAACCTGTAGCTTTAACACACTTGCTATCGAGAAAGGCTTAGATGTAGTGAGCAAAGATGAATGATATGATGTTACAGAACTCTGACATCACTGTCGTTAACACAACAACAAACAATTCTGACCCTTCAAATGTTTGTTTTTCTAGTACACCAAAAAACTTCAGACATACTTTCATAGAACATAAAGCCTATCATATATATATATAAAATATTATTGTCTTGGACTGTAATTGAATTATCCCAATATTTCATAATAATATACATTGTTCATTATTGACTGATAATTATTGTGCATCCCTAATAAAAGCCAAAATGAACGGAAGACATGCCCATTGTGGGGCTTGAAGACTTTTAATGTGAAGTATCTCTGCAGGAAGTGTTGAGTTTCACTGACAGCAGCTAATCGGAACAAATGAAATGAATTAGAGAGAACAGTATTGTTGTGTTAGCGTTAAAAGGAGCCAACTGGTGAGTATGACATGACTCTGTCGTACTGATGGAATTACTGCTGTGGAAATGGACATTATACTGAAATGATCAACAGTGATCATTTGCAGGTAAACATGGAGGAGGTGCTGAGTTTGCATTAACAGCTAATTAAAAGGAGCAGACTAATTATGGTGTAATATACTTACAGAGCAGGGGAAATTAGAAATCCATCAGTACCAACCTGTTAGCATTACACTATTATCCCTATTCCACTACAGGAGCTTGACAACCTGTTACCTGGAGGTTGACACAGGCTCAACTGCAGCCTGAGAGAGACCAGCTGGATTCGAACCAGCAACATTGCAGAAGCCACGGGCCATTAAACATGTCCCATAGCCATTTGGCTACCAAACCACTCCTAAAGATGACCCTCAATCATGGCTTGATCTCGACTCAAGGACCACTTACTAGCTTTTTCCAGTGCTTTCAACCAGACTGCCACTCTTTAACAAATCATTTTCCTGGAGTTGTTCTTGACGATACAGGACAGCACCTGCTTACAAACGGTCACATAGGTTGCAGTTTTGAGCAAATTGACTACAATTATTTGGCCACAGCCCATGAGTAATAATGCAAACAAAATGTGCTGCTAGCTTCACATCGGCAATCTGAGTGAGGGACTAAAATTCAAACATTTCCAGGATCTGCATATGGAGTTTGCTCATATGAAGCAGTCCCCAAATTTAGTTCCAGGAACTCGTCCCCAAAGCGTGCGGCAGAGCTGAGGAAACAAAAGCATTCTGTTAAGCTCCTGCAGTGGAAGTTTTGTATTAAGTCAGCTTCCCCTTGACACTAATCTAACCACGAGTTCAACTCAAACTCAAATTAAAAACAGGGATGATTTTAACATGAATGAAACAGGCTGAGCCACCTCATGTCCTGTCAGATGATAACGTGTGCTGTCTCACTGCAGGGTGGCGGATGCAGGTTCCTCCGCTACGACTGCTCCATTCAGGCTCCTCGCAAAGGCTGGGCACTCATGCACCCGGGCCGCCTCACCCACTACCACGAAGGCCTGCCGACCACCGCCGGCGTCCGGTACATCGCAGTGTCCTTTGTGGACCCCTGAACACCCCAAAGATGGCACACATCACCGGCTAGTCCAGACCAAACAACACACGTCTTTCCACACCACAGCTGCTCTTGATTTCCTGATTTAGAGCGCTGACCATTCCTCCGTTCCTTGTTTAAAGTTCAAAATGATATTGCTTCTGTCTCATTTAAAGGATTATACGCAGTTTGTGACTTTGATCAACCTTTATCAGCAGTAGAATACCCATGCTCTATGATGTAATCAAACTAGGATAGGCATGCAATTTGTGCCAGTGCTAGAAAATGAGGGAATTATTTCTCCTGTATCCAAGTTGGAAAAAAGGTGGGAATAACACACTTAGCCAGTGCAAAATTAATGTGACAAATACCGGCCACTGATACGCTAATCTGGAATAACTCGAGGACTAAATGGACTACTGACCTAACATGAAGTTGGGACACTGTTACTCCCACCGTTCTGCCTGTCCTCTGAGAAAATGTTACTGTAGTCCCAGTTCTAAACTAACTGGATCAGAGGGGCTGTGGGAGGACTGGGTGATCAGTTCAACTACTGCAGTCATCACCATCACCACAAGTAGAGCCACTGTGGTGATCAATCTGAAGGCTCCTGTTTGGTCTGGGGTGTGTGTCAATAATCCAGTCGGTCCTGTTGTGCCTTGAGCTGGACTTCTCTCAGGAAGTCACCAGGAGTTCAGCTTAGATTTTATTTTAAAATGGTTTGTGAAAACCTTTATTGTCCAATATTACTTCACTAACACTATCTGGACATTTCTGTATCCAAAACAGTTATTGTCCAACTCCATCTTGAACACTCCAAAGCCTGTTAACCCTCTTATTTATTTTTTGTACATTTTATTTGATAAAGCCCAAAATCAAAACACTCCACTGATGTAGAGCAGCTGAGTTTCTAAAAGTGTGACATACTAAATTGTCATTGTTACAACTCACTGTGCTTTGAACACAACTCCAATAAAACAGTGAACCCAACAGAAGAGTGTCTGAACTGTATCTATAGTGTCTGCTGTGCCTCAGTTACAGAAAAGGAAGATTCACACAGCTGACACCCAGGGCTTTAAAAGTTTCTATAGAGTAAAGCAGAAGTCAGGCTTTAGCACAGCGCCACATTGAAGTTTAAAAGTGATGTTGGCCTGTGTTACACTGACATTAGTTGTCAGAATTTCTAATGAAAAAGGGCACATAACCGTTGGTAATGTTTTTAGAACGTTTAATTGAAAAGGAGAGTTAATAAAGAAAGAATATACAACAATAATAAGAATAAACACATGGTTAAAATCTAAAGCTCAACATGGAACAGACAAAAACAGAGCTCAAGTCAAAATGCCCCTCTATTCACAACTTTACAGCCAGTATACATTTGGAATACATGCATGTTTAAGGGCATCCTGCTAAAAAAAGAAATATGAAAAACATTTGAAGTAGTAAAATAAGCAGATTTTTACAGAGTGGGTGAGGTGGGCAGATCACAAGCGGAAGCGGTCAGAGAAGTTTGGTGACTGCGGGACTGTGAGAGGAAGTTCACTCTTCTTCAGTGCTACAGGTTTGTAGTGTCTGATGGGCTGAGCCTTATGAACCTGCAGAGGAGAACAATCTGTTAGACTGCAGTCTGATCCAACTGATCCTTTACCAAGTCACAACCAGTTAGACTAAAATATATATCAAACCCGACTTTATTTTCTTTGCCAATTTTAAGTCACTTCTTGTTACATACCCAGTTTGAACAACGAAACTAGCCATAAATATTTTGAGCAGGGAAAATGCAAAATGCAATACATGCCTGTAGATGCATTTACTTTATCTGCTCTTGGTCACTCACATGGATCAGGTACATTTAAAAACCATTTGGAATAACCGTGCTGTAGGATCATGATGCTGCTGACAGTAAGTTGACTCACTTTCCAAACTGAAGAAGCTCACTACCATTTGGTGCCTTAAATACAATCTGTTTTTGCTGCATTAAACGTTAGCAAAGCCCATATGAGGTTTGAGGAGGTTATGATACAACAATTAGTTTCAAGCCCTGTACTATAACACTACCATAAAATGCATTGTGCTCTAAACATATGCCTGAATTTCCTATAGAATAGAATTTATTTTGATATTGGCAGCCACACTCTGTAAATACACAATTGAAAACCCCGGACTGGTTGACCACTAAACAACCCTACTGGTGGTAGTCGGTGTTCTGCAGTCACCTGTTCTTGCCGCAGCCTGGCGATCTCATCTTTCTCCCTCTGCTCCTCCTCTCGTCTCTGCTCCTCCTCCATCAACGACCTGAGCGACTCCTTCTCGCTGGCCAGACGCTCGTACTCCTGCCGCTCCCGGGCCCGCCGCTCGGTCGACAGCTCAAAGGCCTCCACAGCTGTGGAAGAGCGAATGCCTTCTAAAGAGTGCCATCACAGATGGTGGAAACAGGAACAGCAAATTACAACACTGAACAATGCCTCAGCCCCGGAGAAGGAAGCTGACGCACTCTTCAGCAGCCTGGAATATATCAGACAACATTCAATACTCATCATCATGTGGCTACATTACAACCAGAGCTGGGACATACAGCCGCAGTCACTATCAGAACAATATTTTCACTGTATCAAACTGTTTGGCAAACAGCTGAAATCCTACTTTATTTTCTCAAAACAGGACAGAGAAACTGAATGTTATCATATCTTCATAGAGTAGTTAAAAATGAAATAGTGCCCAGCCCCAGTTATAAATGTGACCAACATGATCTGATGATTTTAGCTCATAGATGGAACAGGTGTTTCAATTATTTTGTCCACCCATTTATATTAGTGAGAGTAGGCTAAATAACAGACACCTCTGTATTACACAATATACAACTTCCAAAATGAACAGAAACATCAGCAGGATTTTTGCACTGTAAGCCTTTCAGTGGGTCACCCACGTGTTTTATGCCAGAGGCAACAAACTGCAGGACTGGGACTGAATATAGATTTTTCTAGAACAAAACCCACACAATAAATTTGCAGTGGAGGATTAGTGGAAATATGATAAACATAAATATCCTGATTGAGGCCTCAATGGGACAACAATTGAGCTGTGTTTGGATCAGCAGGGAGATCCTCACAGTGCTCCAACTCTCTAAAAGCATCAGTACATGGAAGCTGCAGGGTTTGGGTCAGTGTTTGCTGGTGCAGCTCTGGATGTCAGTCTTACCCACTGCAGGCCGGCTCTCCTTTTTGGGCTGGAAAGGCTCTTTGTGTGTGACTGTGTTGGGCCTGGCTTTGAATATCGCTGCTTCCTCCTGTTGCTTCTGCTCTTCTTTCACCTACAAGGCACAGAGGTTGGGTTTCAATTCCAAGGCAAAGATTGTTGAGAAAAAACAAAAAACACAAAACAATCATACCATCTGTTCCCAGCGGGTGTTCCTCATAGCTCCCCGCTCATCTAGGAGCAGTCTGAAGGGCTCCGGCTTTGTGGGTTCTAGCTTTTTCTTCTCAGGGAGGAGCACAGTGTCGAAGTGTGGCAGCGGTTGGGCCTTGAACTGTGGTACCTGAAAGGAAACAAGTTCATTTAACAGCTGTGTCTATGCTGGAGGTCAGAGGACACAGGGTCAGACGGTGCGACTCTACCTCTTCATTTCGCTTCTCCTCCAGCTTCTTCTCTTTCAGAGCCCTCCGCTCTCGTTCCCTCTCCTCAAAGGAGAAAGGACAAACCTCCACGTGGTGGTTCTCTGGTAGCCGGGGCTGGAAGGGGAGGCCGAAGTGTGGCACTGGGGGGGGCTTGATTGGTGAGAGCTGTTTTACCTGACAAAGAGAAAGGGCCCAGCAGGCTCAACGTTATTTATATGGGGATGGCT